AGTCCTCGGGCACCTAATTCATCCTAATTCCATCATTTTCCACCAGTGTGTTCCTGTTTCTCCCAAACTACTCACATCTTTGTCAGTGAAGCTGAGTGCTCCACATCTCTGCCTTCATGGGGCCCATCTACATTAAGATCCACAATTCTGAGATTAAAGTCAGAATTCTAGATTTTTTTTCCCATATTAAATTGAAATAATATTTAAAAATCAGTAAACTTTTTTTTATTTTTCAGTGGCCCTAATCCTTTTCCGTAATTTGGCTCCGCTCCAGTTCGCTCCGACTTTATTTAAATTAATGCTTGACTTAAAACCAAGGCCAATGCCTATGCTGTAAGCTGTGCCAATAAAAGTTTCAACCTTACCACAGAATCGCTGAGACGAGGATTGCATATGGTGGGATAAAAAGTGGGATAAAATATCATAAAAAACACTAATACACCAACTATACTGAACAATACACAGTGGGTTTACAGAAAGTGATCGTTGTGTTAAGAGCCTGTTTTTGAAAATGGATCTCAAACATGCATAAAACGCCATTATCTCATTTGCCATGGGATGCCAAGTGACCTTTTTTTAATGTAGTTCAGTAAAATAAATGAATAATTAAATAGAAAACGCGGGGCAACATGAATGGAGCGAGGGGTTACGTTCACAGCTGGGAAACAGTGCGATAATTTAACAGTTCAATAAGACGATCCACATGTATCGGTCGCTTCATTAAATCAGACGCCGCGTGTCCCAGGGCCCTGGCATCATTACAGGAAGGAAAAATGTCAGAAAATGCCTTCTCTTGAAAATTTGATTGAGCGTGGAGCGATTTCGCCGAAGCGGCGGGAAAATGTAGGTGAGCGTGGAGCAGATTTGGAGCGTGACCTCCAAAGCGGAGCGTCCTGGAGCAGCTTTGAGTGGCGGAGCGAATGAGTGAACGTCCTCCTGAACGGGGAGCGGGAATTGCTGGGCGCTCCGCTCCGTTCACATGATCTGACCACATCGGTTTGGCAGCTTTCATGCGGTAAATAAATGTCCAAATGTGTGAATTCAGGACATGTGTTCTCCGTGGTGTCTGCTGCTAGCAAATTTTTTTGCTAAATAAAATTAGCCCCTTAGTCTTTCATCTCCAAGTTTGACGTCCCCCTCTGGCAGTTGGGAAAAATCCACACAAATGTTGCACCTTCTTATACACTGGAAAAAATTTAGATATGTCATTATTTCTTAAAATAAGTGCATTTGTTCTTGAATTGAGGAGATAAAAGAAACATTTTTAAAATCAGAAAACACAATTATATTGCCTTATTTCAAGTGCATATTATCTAATTATCTTATTTTAAGAGTAAAAATACTAATTCCGTTGGCAAATTATCTCATTTACTACTCAAATCAAAGGTAAACTTAATTTAAGAAATGTTTTCTTATTTTTAGATCATTTTTCCAGTGTAAACCACATGGTATTAATACTTTTACTCTTAAAATAAGATAATTAGATAATATGCACTTGAAATAAGACAATGCAATTATTTTTTTTATTTTAAATGTAAATTGTCTTGTTCCACTGCAAAGTGTCTCACTTACCTCCTGAATTCAAGAAAAGATGCATTTAGTTTAAGAGAAAATTACTTCTTTAGATTTCAATTTTTTGCAGTGTAATAAGAGTCTCCTATCTGAATCTCCTTAGATCGTGCTCTGTGTAAGTTTTAAAGTCAAAGTTTCTGTGAATGTTTTCTAGGGTTTCACATGTGATTGACATGTGAATCACATGTTATTCAGTTTCATAGGATGAATATTTGGTCCCATGTGAACCTTTTCTTTAGGACTCCATGCTAACAAGCTTGTTGCTGTGAATGAAGTTACTCAGTAGAAATATATTTGATAAAAATCAATCAGTTAATCTGTTTTTGAAAAACTTCAAACTTCAGAATAGAATTTAAACATGTTTTTCATTTCTGACAAAAGTATTTATAAATAAATCTGAATAACCGATTGAAATTCTAGATTGATGTCAGCGTTTAATTTAAAACTGCTTCTCCATTATTTTAAAAAAATAATGTTTGCTTAAAATAATTCATAACACCTTTACATAAAAAAACTTAATAAACTGACTAACTAAACTAACAAAAATTTAACAATAAAACCCAACAAAACATGCACCAAAACTTTGACTTTAAATATTACACAGAGCATAATTTAATGAGGTTCAGACAGAAGACCTTCATTACACTGCAAAAAAATTTAATTTAAGTCAATTCTTCTTGAAATAAGTGCATTTTTTTCTTGAATTGAGGAAGAAAGTGAAACATTTAATGGAACAATATGTATTTAAAATAAGAAAAAAACAATTGCATTGTCTTATTTCAAGTGCATGTTATCTATGTATCTTATTTTAAGAGTAAACATGCTCATTCCTTTTTTTATTTATTTATTTTAATTTTAAACATGCTCATTCCATTGACTAATCACTTTATTTTCCTGCTCTAATTTAAAGTAAATACGGTGAATTCTGGACTATAAGCTGCTACGTTTTTCCCACGCTTTGAACCATGCGGCGGCTTATAGGAAGCAGCAGTTTTTCTGTTGATTTTTCCCTAACAGTCAGACGGGTAAAGTTAAAGCTGGGAATGAAAGAATAAAGGGATAATTTTCATTTAGCACAATAACATGCTAGCAGCGATACGATGGAGAACAAATGTCCTGAATTCACACTTTTTGACATTTATTGCTGAATTAAATCTGCTGAACCAATGAAGAGACTGAGCTCAACTCCTGCAGAGCTGAAATAAAGCTGCGAGCTAACAAGCTAACAGGAGCTAGCATTCTAATTCCTCCCTATTCCAAGGGCTATATGTAGAGCGCCCCCTACAGGTTTGGTGGGAGACAGTTCAGTAGATATCAGCAGCTTATAGCCCGGTGCGGCTTATATATGTACGATTCCAGTTTTTTTTTTTTATGTAGTGGGTGTGGCTTATAGTGAAGCGCGCTCTATAGTCTGGAGAATATGTTACGCTTAATTTAGGAAATTCTTACTTATTTCTAGACAGTGTGCGAAATACCTGTCAATATTTTGGGGGGGGTCCCCATTTCCTGATTGTTGCGCAATACCAATCTAAATTTTCTCATAAAAAAAAAAAAAGCACATGGCTAACTTGCATATGCGAACAGGATTGGCTGGCTCCTCTTGGCAAAAAACAGAACATATTTGTGAATAAAGGTTTTGAATTTGAAATACTTGACATGTTGAGCTTAAAAACATTTTAGTGACCATTAGTGACAAAAAAA